ATTTTCTTGCATCACTCATTTCTCTTCCCAACTTTTTTTCTACCTCTTTTACTTGATATTTGAAACCCTTTTTGAACCCTTTCATGGCCTGAGACCAATTCATATATTTCTTCGAGGCTTTGACTTAGTTATCTTATTCTGAGTGTATGTTTTGATCTTCCATAGTAACTTTCTAGGTCAAAATTTATTTCTATTCTTTGCTCATTTCCCCAGCGTATTACTTGATTTTTAACTCTTTGTTAAAATATGGCTCTACCACCAGGGTAGGGGGTGCACCATCCCAAGCTTTAGGGTTTGGTTGTTATTGTTGTTTTGTTTTGCTTTTGACAGCAGTTTTCAAAGATACTTCTAAGAACCTGTAAATTTTTGGTTCTTCCAAGGTGGTATGATCTAAGGAAAGATGTTTGCTACTCTCATAGCCTATGCTGTTGTCTGTGAGTGATCACAAGCACTTTTTATTTCCCTCGACATCCACTGTGACTGTAAGTTCTGGTGGGCTAGTGCTCCTCCTTGCCCCAGGATTGCCACCTATGACTGTGACCCTGATCCGAGTATGGGCAAAGCAACAGAGTCCTTTCTTAGGGCTTGCAAAGAGACCCTCTAATCTCCTTTTCACCAGTTGTTTCACCCTCTTACTGTCTTTGGGTTGAGAACTCTGGGAGCTGCTGCTGCCATTGCTGATTCAGTGGCTCCCAAGTTATGCTTCTGCTTTGCTGTGGCTGGGGCTGTGCTGGCATGGCCTGCATCTGAATATGCTCCACTTTCACCTGGGTGCTATGGACTTTCCTACTGACCTTCTAAATTGTCCAGCAGTTGACAGTGGAATTGTCTAAATACCAACATGGGTATCTCTGGACTGAGAGGTCTAGAAACCACCACTGCTGCCAGTGATTCAGTTGCTCTGAGGCCTGCTTGAGATGTTGCTGAGGCCTGGTCTGCACTGTTGTGGCCTGCCCTGGACTGTGCTCCTCTCTGACCCTGGTGCCCAGACCTCTGTTGCTGACCTTGTAAGTTTTCTTGGGCTCTAAAATTGTTTCACTCTGCTTTTTGGTCAATTCTGCTGCTCTAGAATTTATTTAGAATCCTTATTTAAAGTTATTTGGAGGGGTTTGGGGGAAAGTTCACATGAGTTCCTGCCTTTACTCTGCCATTTTGACTCCATCTGTCAATGTTCAAGCTTTTGGACTTTTCATGTTTTTCCAGGTGACCTATAATCCTTAAGTTGTCTTTTTGTATCCTTAGAGAGCAATATATTTTACTTATATAGAGATGATTTTTTAATGTTATTGATTTTTACTCCTCTCCTGCCAGATTGTTCTTCTCTTTTGTATACTTATATTCCCAATCACTTATTTTTTCCTTTTATCTTTGGTGAGATTTTCCAATTGGATTTAAGATTTTTGATGCTGCCAATTATGTCTGTTATGCAGGAGATAAATTCAACTTTTATAAATCTCTCTCTCTCCCTCTCTTTGGCTAGGCAATGGAGTTAAGTGACTTGCCCAGGATCACACAGTTAATAAATGTCAAGTGTCTGATGCTGGATTTGAATTCAGGTCCTTCTGACTCCAGGGTCAGTGCTCTATCAACTGCACAATCTGACTGTCCCCAACTTTCACAACTCTTATTTCTTCCTTGCTCCATTAGGAAACATTCTGCTGTGACTCCATGTTGTCACTTCCCAAGAGACCTTGGGAATCCATAGAACCTTCTATTGATTCAAGTATTGATTAATTTTTCTTTGTATTGCAATATTTATTTGTTGCTTGGAATTGTGTAGGTGTTTGAGGGACTCTTTTCTTATGTTATTAATATCTTCCTTATCAATTTATTTGATAGTCTGCAAGGTCTCTAACTGGATTTTCTTCTTATTGAGATCTTTGGTAATTTCAATCTTTTTTCATTGTATTCACCTGTCCTATACCCTCTAACTCCTTGCACTTTGATGATGGATTCCCTAATGTCTGGACCTCAAATCTATCTCAGCCTCTTCCTGTGGTAGGTACATTCACATTTCAGTTGCCTCAGTCTATGCCCATGGATGCCAGGACCTTTTTCTTCAGATTGGTAGAGTCATACACATTTTGGCTCCCTACTCCAGTTCCTTCTGTTCTTTAGTTTCTCTAGCTAAGAACTGCTGTAGCACAGTATGCTGCCATATTGCCACTCCAAGGAGAGCAAAAATCTGATTTTCTATACCTCCGCCTCTGCTGCACAGTATGGATTGGGAAGAATTTAGTTCTCTTGTAAGCCATGGGTCAGCTTGTGCCACCCCTCCAAGCGTTTAGGAGCTGGTATGAGAGGGAATTCTGAGCTAACATGTTAGAGATTAGCGATAATAAGCTTTCTCCACTGTTAATTGATCAGTGTGATGCCTTTGTTAGAACTCTTAGTGCTTAGATGGTGTTGATAGATGAAATTGCTTTTTCTTCTCATGCAATATTGTTATTTTGGAAACATTTGAAATGTTGTGAGGACTGGAAGGAAAGAGATTTCTCCATCATGTTGGTCACATGACTAAGAATATCTGATCAGATTTTGATACAAATTTCTTTTTATTCCTTGAAGGAAATCTAAAAAAAATTTTCCCTTGGGTGTGTGACTTCCAATGTAGCATTTCCCTCTTGGCCTACTCCTCCAAATCATGTTTACAGGTTAGATAATCATGGGGTCAGCAACCCCAGGTACTTGTGAGTCCACACTCAAGGACTCAAACCACTTGACACAACTAGTTCAAAGCAAAGAAAACAATTAGAACATGAACATTTCAACTATAAATATGAGGCACATTTTCCCAGAAATATGTTCAGTCAATGGGAAAAGTGGCCCCGCATAGTATGCTAGTTGAAAGACACATAGAAGGAATATATGTGGCCAAGCCAACTCAAGTGTCTGCCACTTCAAAACCCTGACTTCCTTTCTCTTATTGTGAAATTTCTACATTGCTCTTTAAAAATGTTTTAAAATTGATTTAATTTTTAATTTATGGAATAAAACAAACATTTCCATAACGTAGTATAATAAAAAATGATTGCACATGAAACTGAAAATCTGTTACGTACAGCTTGCTATTCCTTTTAAATAACTTTAAATAAACTTTTGAAAAGTTATCATGTAAATATCTTCTTTTTTTTCCCTTCTACCCTCGAGATGGCTATTAGACACAAATATGTATATTTGTAAAATAATTATGTACATCTATTTATCAATTCTTTCTCTTTCTGCAGACAGTGTCTTCCTTTACATGCCTTTTATACTGAATCTGGGTCTTTATAATAGTCAAAATGTTACTTTTTATGGGTACAATGTCTTTGTTGACCAGTTCTTACAATTGTATTCCTTGGGGCTGCTTTTCTTCTTAGTTCAACTTCTGACAGCAGAGATGACTAGACTTCTATTTAAAACAGAACTGGCTAGATTGTTTTTTTTATATTAACCCAAGGACATAGCTAATCTATACCTTGCCCACATGGCATCATTGCTTTCATCATATGAACAAGGACCCCAGATAATCTCAGGTTGATTAAAATTGTTCATGTTAGCTAAGGGAATTAAAAATATAAAGATTTATTTAAATTTGTTTTACAATGAATGAGACACTCCCAATTTTGCAACCATTTCCAACTGTGAATACGACACATAGGATGACCATTTTTGTCTGAAATGGGAAAATTCTAAAAGTCTAAGACACTTATACCAGTATATCTGAAACAATGATTTATAGACTCAGCACTTGAAGAATACCAATCTAAGCTTTCTCATCTATAGTTACTGAACTCTATTCAACTCTGTTGTGCTATAAAATATCCTTAATTTGGTAAATAATAGAGTAAGAAGGAGCCACCCAAAATATAATAACAATAAGAGGGGAAAGAAAACAAATAGATGTGGCTCAGAGTCCTTGCTTTATGATGAAGACTACATAGCTATAATGATGGTTAAAAGAGGTATTGTTGGCTTTTGCTTTTTCTTTTTTCCCCCACTGAGTTGAGTCCTTGAAAAAAAAAAAGATGATCTTGGAAAGAATTCTAGATGTAGATCTCTAAAAGGATAAGGGCCCTGAAATTATAAATCTCCCTTCTTAGAAAAATGTGGAAGTGAGAATGGAAACATGTTTCTGAGTATACAACAAATATCCAGCAGGTGGCACCACAGTTAGATATTCTGGGTGATGAGAATGGTACTTGAATTATGAGGATCATCTCATACAAATCCTAGCCATACTTGCTCCATAAACCAAATTATCAGGTCAGTGTCACAGAGGATAACAATTTCTCTGTCACATCAAATAGGACATGTTTCTCTGAGAAACAAGGTATTCGTTCAAGGAGACTTGCAATTTTCTTATTGTGAACTATGACTTTCATGACTTAATTTCTCCACCTAGAAGAATTAAAAAAGGAATATGAGCTATGCCTATCAAGGCAACAGGTGAGTATAACTGGGAGTATGGGGAAATAATTTAGGTCAAATGTAATCCTAGGTAAAAGGAGACAAAACATTGACTCAGGAAGCAATACAGTGCCAAGGATCAGGAAGAGAGAAGCTGAGAAGAAAGTGATTGATAAAAGAGATTCAATCTTTTGTTCATTGGAAATGTAATGTTTGAGGAACTTTGACAGTCATAAATGGGACTAAGATTAATTAGAAGTTTATTAGGAGCACAAAAAGGCCTACTACATGTGAACCTACTGTTTAGAGTTATTGAAGTGATGTGGGGTGGTTGAGACTGAGTCAAAACCATCAGCTCTGGGAGTCTCAATGTTCCCAGTGCTTTGTAACCAGCTCTAGGAGAACTTTCTCTCAAGTTCAGGAAAGAAACTTCTCACTGGAAGGAAGAAGGTGTTCTTCCTCTTTTTGAATAGAGCAAGACATGCAAATTGGGTCCTCCCCACTGGTATGAAAAGCAGCCCCAAACCTGTACCTGTAGCTGTACCTGCAGGAGACAAGCTCAAGCTCTTTGTGTCCTTCCACAAAGAGTACTAACCTGGTAACTCACCATGAAATTTGGGTTTAATTGGATTTTTCTTCTGACTATTTTCCAAAGTAATTTTATGGAGAGGGAGGGACAACGTAAAGTGGTGACTTAATGTAACTATTGCCTTTAATGCAATGTCTCTGTGTTACAGGTGTCCAGTGTGATGTGCAGCTAGTGGAGTCTGAGGGAGATGTGAGACAACCTGGAGGTTCTCTGCCTCTCTCCTGCAAAGCTTCTGGATTCACTTTCAGCGACTACTACATGCATTGGGTCCGCCAGGCTCCAGGGAAGGGACTGGAATGGGTTGCAAAAATTAGTGGTAGTGGTAGTACATACTTTGCAGACTTTGTGAAAGATTAATTCACCATCTCCAGAGATGATGGCAACATGTTATATCTGCAGATGACTTCCCTTAAGACTGAGGATACAACTGTGTATTACTGTGCAAGAGACACAGTGAGGAAAAGGAATGTGAGACCTGACAGAAACTGCCCCTACCAGGAGGTGAGATATCAGTGAGGCCAGAAGGGGATTGAGCTTGTGATGCACAGAGTACCAGATGTCTAGATCCACCAACAAGTGTAGAGTGAATCTGAACCATTTCTATTTATGGCTTTTGTTGTTTTTTCTTCTATCCCAGGAGAAAGCAACTTCTCTAGTAGCTAGCTATCATTCTTAATGCTTCACTCTCACTCCCACCCCTACCCTATATTTAATCAGTGCACCGGTGGGGTCACTGTGCTTTATCTCCTACTGAGATCAGGCAGCCAGGGTCATACTCACCACGAGTCTTCAGAGCCTACCCAGACACGCAAAAGGACAAGTCGATCGGGAAGTGTTCCATCACTTTTATTATAGCATGTTGAAAGATTTAAGAGCAGAGAGAGCAAGTGGGAGGAGTGGGGAGGGTAAAGCAAGTGAGCCAAGGAAAGAGTAGAAAGAGCCCCTCCCATCACCAGATCAAGCCACTTATACTCCAATCCCACCTCCACACTCATGAAGAGCAATCACAATGCACAGGTGGCCAATGAAGGAGACTTGGCTAGAACCCACAGGTCTAACCGCCTCAAGGGACACTGAGTGGGCCTGTTGATGGAGATGTGGCAAGAGTCCAGTACTCTGCCACCTCAACTATGTCAGCTGAACCCGTACATATGTAACTCTCATTCTGTTAGGAGGAGAGTATCACATAACGGACATATTCGTGACCAGCCCAGAACGGTGGGCCCTAACAATCAGTAGTTACTTCTTATCTATTCTATTTTTATCACATATCTAGTATACCCTCCCTTCTCTGCTCAGGTACTGTGACCACTCTGAGGTCAGCCTTTACCAACTCACACCTGGACCATTATGCTAGCCTGTTGGATGCTCTCTCAGCCTTACTCTCTTCACTTCAGTCCACACTAAACTCAGCTATCAAAATTATCTTCCTAAAACATAGGTGTGACCACTTCCCCCAAATTCTGGTGATTCCAGGATAAAATATAAAATCCTATTTGGTTTTTAAATCCTTTCACGGCATGGTTCCTTCATGTCTTATTCTACCTTACTCCCTTCTACATACTCATTAGTCCAATGGCACTGACCTCCTTGCTGTTCCTTTCAGAAGAGATTCCATCTCTCTACTACCTGTGTTTTCAGTGACTGGAATTCTTTTCCTCCTCATCCCTGCCTCCTCGCCTCGTGACATCTTTCAAATCTCACCTAAAATCCAATTACATGTAAAAATAGTTTTCAACATTCATTTTTATAAGATTTTGAGTTCCAAATTTTTCTTCCCTCCCTCCCTTCAGATTCCAATAAGTAGTCTGATATAGATTATACAAGTATAATCATGTTAAACACATTTTCACATTAGTCATATTATGAAAGAAGAATCAGAACAAACGGGAAAAAAATAGGAGAAAGAAAAAAATAACAAAAAAAGTGAAAATGGTATGCTTTGATCTGCATTCAGATTCCATGGTTCGTTCTGTGAAGGTGGATACCATGACCATTGATCATGATTCCTTTGGGAATGTCTTGAATCATTGTATTGCTCAAAGCTAAGTCTATTATACGTAGTTTATCATCGCACAATATTGCTGTTACTCTGCACATCTTTCTTCTGGTTCTACTCACTTCACTTTGCATCAGTTCAAGTAACTGAAATTTTTCTGAAATCATGTTGCTTGTTATTTCTTACAGCACAATGATATCCCATCACAATTAGATATTATAGCTTGTTTAGCCATTCCCCAATTGACGGGCATCCCCTCAATTTCCATTTCTTGGCCACCACAAAAGATACCTTTTGATGCAGCAATACCATTGTTAGGTCAATATTCCAAAGAGAATATTTGTAAAAATTAACTACATAATATATGGGATTTTTTCTAAAGATTATGAAGCAGCAAGAGAAAAATAAAAATAAAAGTTCTGCATGAAGAAAGGAAAAGACAAACATACTGAATTGACATACTTCAGATTCTATGCATTTTATGAGATTTCACAATTTCAGTGACTGATAAGAAAATAATTTGTTTTTTTCAAAGGTCCTAATGGACCTCATAAACCCCCACCCTTACTTTCCCATCTTCACTCCTTTATCCTCCATGAAAGAAGAGCTTTGAACTACCTCATTTCCTGCTTAGTAGAAGTAGATAAAAGCAGTGAAAAGATTTCCTGAGGACATAGTGACAGCTGACATGGGAGCTCTGAATAGAGAATGGTGCCTCCATTTGGAAGCTCACTCCACAATGCTCTGACAATGTAGAAGACAAACTCATGCCCCATGAGGGCACAATTTGCTCAAAGTAAGTTGAGGGGGAGGTTATGATAAACTAGAAAGAGAATATAATAGAAGCTATTTCTAAATCCCGTGGAAGAAGTAGGGGCGTCAGTTTATTGAGAGGGGCTGGTTTGAATGAAGTAGAATCCTTTTAGTGATAAATAGTACAATAATTCCCTCAAATTATAGGAAAAAACTAAACCATAGAAATTTAGACCATCATGAATTCACTGGGTTCAAAATGAATTAATTAATGGTGTTAGGGAGGTGGAGTTAGGGTAAAGACAGATATGACATATCTTTCTTTAATGGGTAATCTTCTTCCCATTATTTCATTTCCCAGTGCATATACTAGGAGCCCATCCAGGCCAGAGGGAAACACTGGAAAGTCAGATCCACTGGGTTACCTGAAGGCAGGAAATGGAAGAAAATGTGGTGGAGATCATCTAAGACCAAATAGTCAGATTTCCTGTTACAGTTAAACCAAACTACTGCTGACCACTATAAGAGGCACCACTACTGGCTACCTTTCTTGTCAAAGAAAGAACAAAATAGAGCAGCTAAGAATTTCTTAATTTTTCTTTATTATGGAATAAAGTTCAATATTTTAGAGCTGAACCTTTAGAAGTTTGGTGTTACTGCAATAGGGCATAGCAAGGCTTTTGATTTTTATAAGGACAATGCAAGATTTTCTTTCCCTAGGGAATTTCTACTTTTGCTCAACTTCATATAACCATGTCTTTTAAAAATGCTCCGAGAGTGTTCCAACTGTCCTTAAATCAACTTTTAATTTCTTCTGTCTTCTCACTCTGTGCTACTCCAAGGGAGTATGCCCTAACATTTTCTCTTCTCTCCCTTCTCACAATTAAGGAGAACAGTGTTATTCCAATTTTTATTTATTGAAATTTATACCTCCCTCTTGAATGACATAGTTTGGAAAAATTCCTGCTCTGCCTCCTCCTGAAATGGGTTGTTCTATACCATGACATTATGAGCCTCACTTTCATGATATCAATCAATCCTTCCCAGTGATACATTTGTCAATGGTTTCTTTTAACATGTCATTTATAGTATTACATAAGAATGTTCCTCTTTCTCCCCTAGATCATGATACCATGAGATCCCTGAGTACTTTACTTTCAAGGTTTATAAAGGAATTTCAGGGGAAAAAATTCTCACCCAGACCTTGCCAAAAAAAAAAAAATGCATATCCTTTCTCTTTATTTGAAGTCCATCACTTCCCTGGCTGAGATGAGAAGTATGTTTCATCTTCAGTTTTCTGGATGCATATTATATGTAGCTGAATCCTAGAGTCTTTCAAAATTATTTTTCTCTATAGTGGTGTTGTCATTGTATAAATTGTTCTCCTATTGCTACCCTCTCTGCAGAAGTTCATAGATGTCCCAGTTTTCTCTGAACCTGTCCATTTCATCAATTCTTGTGCAACTATAATATTCCATTTTATTAATATACCCTGATTTATTTAGGATAACAAGTCCTTACTTTTCTACATAAATGTTAGTTAATATAATAATAATTACAATTACCACTCTTACTATGTGAATTCCTCATACACATAATTTCTTGTTCCACAGTAATATTGTGTTATGGTCATGTACCATAATTTGATAAACATTTGTCCAATTAATGGACATCTACTTTGTTTCCCATTCTTTGCAGTTTTTATTTTTAATCAAATCAGGAGCTTCTTAGATACCTGATATTTTCCCCTATACAAACACTGGATTTTTCAAACACTAAGATCCACTGTTTCTGATTCTCCCTTGTGTAGTCTGTTCGGTTACCTCTCTCTTTTCTAAACAATATAGCTATTTGATGACTGTTGCTTTACTTCAGGTGAGGACACATTATTCTTTCATCTCTACTTCTTTTAATCATTTCCATTGATATTCTTCATCTTTTGCTTTTCCAAATGAATTTTGTTATTATTTCATCAAGATCTATAATGTATCCCCCTAATCATCTGATTGCATTAAAAGAGTATAGTAATTTTGATATGTTGTTGTTTTTATTGTATTAACATGGCCTATTTGTGAGCATTTAATATTCTTCCATCTATTTTCATTGCCATTAATTTTGTTAAGGGACATTTCTAATTTGAATCTTTATGGGTCTTTTGTGCAGTTGGTAGTATGATTCTGAGACATTTTATGCATCTTGTAGTTATTTGGAATGGAATTTCTTTTTCCATTATTGCTTACTAGTTTTTCTTTTTATTTTACCATTAACCAGCACTAATTTCTTTTTTGTTTTAAGGAAAAGATTTTATTTCAATCAGTTATATTAGGGGAAAGAAATTTTGGATTCTTTTGTGTTAACTCATAAGGAAATCTAATTTTGCTTAGGTTTATTATTTATTTATGTTTATTATTTAATTTTGAATAAACATCTATGTGTAGCATGTACCAAGGTGTAGACACGTTTTATAGACTGCTCATTTGATGAACACTGTTCTCACCATTTGGAATTAATTATTTAGTGTATTTGCATATCTCATCACACAACTTTTTTTCTCCAATTGGTTTAAAATTAGTATCTTTAAGGTAAATCAATTTTTGTCATAGTG